AAACACTGCACTGAGATATCTGATGATGTCGGTACAAAATATAGTTAGGACAGCGTTATAAATACTATTCAAATGTTTCCATGTCCTTAATATCTTAAAGCCAGCAAACTTTGTATCTGTAAATTTATTCACCATTTTCTGAGTTTAATCAGCTATATTGATATATCTCAAAACCTAAAAGACATCTTTTTCTAAAAATTAGATCAGTGTAGTGTATAGGTTGTGTACTTTAAACTGAAATACACTTTATACAAAGAAAGAGAAGAAAAATAAATCAGAATGAAAAGAAAACAAGAGCAAAAGGAAAGCGGTGACTTTCGTGTTTAGAGTTAATGTAGTATGTGATATCATACTTTCCACGTGAAACTAGGTTTTTTCATTTGTTTCTCAAAAACTAGACTTTGCACCCAAAAAACGAGAGACCAGATTTGGGTTCTACGTGAAAAGATGAATCAAAATATGTATACTGTTGCTTGTAAAATGCTCGCAAACACATCCGATCGAAGGTACCGCATTTTAAAACTTCTCGTATCTGCCAAGGTTCGACAGAGTACATTAAATGACATATACCCACAAGTTATAATGAAAATTTGGCCAAAAATTAACACTTTTTATTCTATTCTATTGCACTTTGAGCCCTTAAAGTAAGTTTTGAAACTGATGCAAAAAACCTGATTTTTAAAAAAAGAAGCAGTTTGAAGAAAACTTTTCACTGACAAAGTTGTTCAAGATAATCCTCTTCATATCCCAAGCGTAGCACCATTTTCATATATACGTGTACTTAAACCGTGAACGTCTAGAAATATAGCCTGAAAATTTCAGGTCATAATACTGTTTTGTTATTGAATTATTGAATTTTTACAAAAAAACAAAAGTAGCAAAACTTGATTTCTTCCCGGAATATATTTCATATTTAATGAATTTTTTTTTTGTCCCCACTTACGATGGAACGTTTCAAAAATAAAAATATATCTATCTAGTAGCCTTTTACCAGCTCTATCTATCACAAAAAGAACTGGGCCAAAAAGTTAATTCTAGAAGGGCAGAAATAATCTTTCAAAAAGGAGTAAGTTTTTTTTTGGCGCACCCTGTATTAGACCTAAGCGGGGATATTTGATCTATAAGAAGAAGCACACGGATGTGCAAATGGAAGTCTCCTCTGAAACCTGATTAGGTATATGGTAGCAGTCCTCTTGCACTTAGAATCTCAAGAAACCTCAATACAAATAATTTTTCTTGAATTTTTAGAAAAACATCGAGAAGAGCAATAGGACGGGTACAGAAAACTGGACAAATAGGTTATTTTTTGCCAATGGAATAATCCTAACATCCTTCCACGAGGGTGGGTGTCAACAATTTGTAAAAGAAAAACTAAACAGCTGGAGGAACAGAAACCAATAGTGAAAGGGAAAATATTTAAACATAAACATAAACAGGACATGAACATCACAAGAATGTTTACTTTTTCTTGTGGTTACTATCTCTAATACGATCTTTAAGTTACAAGTTCAATTTTCTCTTTTACAGTTTGAAATTCTTTCACATTGTTTGATGTCGGTGCAGGAGAAGTATGTGATGGCGGACAGACTGTTTTTGAATGTTCATCTTTACAATCAAGATATCTGTAAGCATGCTGACACACTGTACCTCGATTACGTCCTCTTTCTCCATTAAAATTTAAACAATTATATGTCGTCCATCTGAGAGGGTTACAGATTGACGACGTGAACGATTGTTTGGACAAATGGGAAAAGTAGCTGTTGGCGCTGATGACGTTCGTAATAGTGGATGTTGTGATGATGTAAATGGGTTCAAACGAGGCGGAGCGGGGCAAAAGTCCAGCCTGTCAGTGATCCTAATTGTGAGCACGTCATCTCACAAAATAGAAAAATACAGTTCATCCGTTAGCAAGCTGCAACCTTTAAGAGTACTGAAACCAGAAAGCAGTACAATTTTAGGGGGGATGTCAAAGTCTTTTGGGGGTATTAAAGATTTAGATATTAACTCTCTCGACGTTAACTTCTAGTTAACTCAGAGTTAACCCTGAAAAATTTGTGGTGTGAACATAGCCTAAGTCGAGCTGCACCTAAACTGCATTAATGTGACCAAATTTTCAAAGTGATCGATTATTGTAAAACAGTAACTATTAACGGCTAACAGATGAAATTTGTGGCACAAATAGAAGAAGGTGATGACGACTACATTTTGCTCAAACATGAAGTGTTCCTCTGAGATAGTCACGAACCTCTACGTTCTATGTAAGCCACGTAGAGCCCGTGTGTGCAGCTGTGACTAATCGTCTGTTTTTTGGGAAATCGCACTAAAAACGACGATTTTTAGACGTATCTCGAATAATTCTGATAAGTGGCGATTTTCGCAGATGGGACCTCCGTTACTCCTATCATGTAGATTGTATTGATTAAGGTACATATAATAACCAAGATTCACTGCAGACTCAGTCGTATAAAGATATAACACCGTTTTCTCATAATTTAACAGTTTCGACTATTCCATATGAAGACTCCACTCAAAGCATGTGTAATGGTGATGTCTATATAAAGTTCCGTTGGCAACGACTAAGTAAAAAAGGATATGTTAGATACATGCCGGTTATATTATAAAGATAATGAGATCGAACTAGAAAGAATAAATGAGTTTGAGGAAAACTATAGTTCGACAGACATCATTTGTTCATAAACCCCAGACTGTTTCGCGAAAGATCGACGGACAGACATTTTTTGTTCATGTAATCCTTCCTTTCAGCTAAACGAACTATTAGTTTTTTCGCTAGACTCGAAACTGTAATGAAAGCTCGAGAACATTGATTGATGTGAACAAGTTTTCTGTTATTTGGCGAGATGCGCTTCTTATCAAATGGTAGAGATGGCTCGCATGGAGAACTAGCTTTCTAAAGACCTTCTGAAAAACCCTCCTGAGATCTTTCTAATATGAAATTTACATCATGTCTTATCTATATAATAACCAAAGCAATCAATTGTCATTATTTTTCAAGATAATCCGTCGATAATAGAAGCGTTTTACAATATGATTAGATTTAATTTTCAATTATTGTCCACTCCAGTCAAGTTATTCACAATTATCGGCTTATCAAAAATAAAGAGTATCAATATATTCAGAAGGAATCTATTTACTGAGTAGTGTGAAGAAGGATTGTTGAGAATACCCTTGTATGAGAAAATTGATACAGCGGAAGAGAAATATTTCGAAAGAGAATAAAAACTGTGAAAGAAGAGAATAATAAGTATTGCCCTCAGTTGTCTTCACTGTCCATGGATCTATTCAAAAATTTTTCCGTTTGGTTCGGTTTAAACGGCTAGCCAATTTGAATGATTCGGTTTAAGACAAGCACGAATGAGTTTCATCTGTAACAATTTTTCTTCTTATTAAATATCAAAGTAGTTTACAAATTTGAGAAAATGACGCAAAAATATTCGGGATGTGTGGAATGATTGTGTGTAGGACCACTGAAATGTTTACAGTAAAAGATAGACAAGTACCGTATAACGCGGTAAAGGAAAACAATGGCCAATTATGTGTGTTCTAACTTTCATACACCGTTCTCTTTTTCTGCTTATCTGTTGCATATGCAATTATCTATGGATATGAGGAGTAGCATAAAGAATTCTACTTATTTCAACGGTTGTCATCAACATCAGTTGTATCTTTTCTTGTACTGTTGCTAGATGTGAGACTACGTCAGAATCTGTTCGAATATTCTCTTCTTTTTCTTTTTCAAGTACTCCGGCATCAACACAATGCGTATATTCTTCAAAATCTATTTACGTTCATAGTGGTTTATCTTCTAACTATATATATATATACCATCTGGTATTACGTCGCAGCTATTATTTACATGTTTCTGGAAAACAAAAAGTTTATTCAGTCGATAATCTATACTCCTTTTCCAAGACGTCTATGTAAACAGTTTTATTTGGAGAACTAATTTTCATCACATGATCAGCTTGTCTTTATTTTTTATTATATTGCGGGTAAGGCATTGTTCAACCAAGAATGTTTTCATCTAAGGCGGTTCAAAGTAAAGTACGTTTATACCTGTCACCACTCAAGAACTCTGTATATTTCAACTACAATAGATTTTCTTGTCAATTCTGTCCACGATCAAGTATAGAGTGCTGGTTCTAAGAGTTGAGAAAAAGATAGGTTACTTGCCGACTTTAACTTTTTGCGAAGTCGTGAATACACATATCACACATAAGGGAGAAGAAGAACATACCCATACCGGAAACCGGTGTAGGGTGAAGATCAAAAAAATGAGAAAACAAAAAGTCTCTGAATTTTGGTTGCGCTCAAAAGAACGCAAAAGTTTTATCGGATTTTTTTCATGTTCACTCGTCGTAATACCATCGATGATAAGGTGTATCATCCGCGTACCACCTCCACACCACACATGGATCTGGTTTTGGAGGTACCCATCCTTTTACCAAATCACCGTAGTTCAGCCTTCTCGGTAATTCGTGAATATTTGCATTTAATCCACCCTAATCCCATGTCTCTTACACCAATCCTTGACTCATTGGAGTTTGTTTGACTACTTTTTTATCACAAGTTCGTCGATGAATCTTTACACCTTGTTGATTTTTACACACTTGACCACAATTGGGACAGATATTTGTGACCACTCCAGTCAACATTGGTGGAGTTTGACTAGATACGGTGCTGGTTGTGTTATCTTGACTACTTCGAGCAAGCTCTTCTGCTCGCCGCCGATTTGCTAGTTCCTTATATTCATGTACAAGTCTTTGGATATTCGAATGTACGGGTTTAATTTGCACGTATTTGTTGATAATCTGACGCCACTTGTCCTTATCCATCGGTTCTCTCCGCCAATTGAATATTCGATCGCCTAATGTTACACCAACTAATGTTCTTAGACAAGCCATATAGAATGTATTTAGCCGTCTTTCTTGAGCCATTGTCAGAGACCACACTTCACTCCCATATAACAGAACAGGTAGAATTCAAGCACGAAATATACGCATTTTCGCTTCACATGATACAGTTTTACGATACCAAATCTGCATTCGAAGCATATTGAACGCCCCAGATGCTTTTGTTATTCTCGTTTCAATTTCCTTTTCTTGTGAGTGATCTCTCGTCGCGAAACACCCCAGATATGCAAAGTACTCGACTATATCAACGGTTTGATTCCTGATCGTAATATCAATTTTTACATTGTCCACTTTCTGATCTTTGATTACTTTTCTGGACGCGTCTTCTTTAAGCTGCTTCAAAGACATTATGCACGTCTTTTTGACACTCATTGTCAATCCACATTCTTGAGTTACTTTCTCGAATGTTCCAATAAACTTTTCGAGATCAGCCGCTGTTGTGCACATTGCCACCACGTCATCCGCGTATATCAAATCGAGTATTTCAATATCTTCATGTGCCTCGCGCGTAGAATGATAAAAATCACCATTTCCACATGCCAGTTTCACCCCAGATACATCTACTTCAACCAATATCTTACGCATGATAAAGTCAAACAAGAGATTGAACAGGATGGGAGATGGAATTCCACCTTGTTGGACACCGGTTTCAATATCGAATGTTTCCGAAAAATCACGGTCGATTGGCACTTGTGCTTTCGAGTTAGTATAAAGAAGCTTTAGCATTCGAACGAGTTTCTCCGACAAACCATAATGTCTACACACCTTCCACAACAGCTCTCGATTAACCGAATCATAAGCTTTTTGGATGTCGATGAAGCATATAAACAATGATTTATTGTATTCCTGTGATTTTTCCATGATCATTTTTAAGGTGAAAATTTGATCGACTATTGATCTGTTTGGTCGAAAACCTGCTTGTTGATCTAGCAACTTTTTGTCGAGCAGTCCTTGTATTCGGTTGAGAATAATTCGAGAGAATATTTTACTCACGACAATTAATAAAGAGATACCGCGATAGTTGTCACAAATATGTTTATCCCCTTTATTTTTGTACAATCGAATCAGTATAGCCATCGTCCAGTCTTCTACCATTTCCTCGTTTATCCAAACATCAACTATGATTTGATGTAGCCACAGAGCTATTTCCATACCATCAGCTTTCAATAATTCAGCCGTAACATCATCCTTACCCGATGCTTTTCGACTTTTCATCTGTTTGATTGCTTGCACAACTTCAGGCAAGGACGGTGGTGTGTCCTGTCTTGTCTCCTCAGCTTTATCAATAGCTGGAATAGGAATCTGTTGCAAAATCGTTGGATCAATAACTGTATGTACATTCAATAACTCACAGAAATATTCCCGCCATCGACTTAACCTGTCCTTGGAGTTCAATAACATCTTACCATTTTTATCTTGAATGGAAGTGTTATCCATGTTTTTGTTTCTTCCTCGTAATCGCCTTATCATAGCATAAGCTGTCGCTGGATCATGTTGTTTTATAGCATTTTCAATTTCACAACTAATTTCGTCCCAATACTCGAATTGTCGAGCTTCGATTTTTCTTTTCACCAGTTTCGCGAGTGCCCGATATTTCGACCTATACTTTTGTTCATTATGTTTTCCAAGACGGTTTTGCCAGTGGAGATAGGCTTCTGATTTTTTCTTTACCATGCCAAGAATTTCATCCGTTAGCCACTCCTTTCGCTTTTCATCATTGTTTTCTTGCTAAAAATATTCGGTTCCCAATTCACGTACGTGCTTAACAAACTGTGAATACTTTCATCAATGGTCATTTCGTCATCATACACTTCATTCTTCTTCCGCTCAATGTCCCGTTTGAAACCATCCCGTAGTGTATCGTTGTGAAGCTTTTGATAATCGAGCTTCAAACGTTTTTGTTGTTGATTTTTCGTTCGACTTTTCAAGTGAATTTTTACCTTTGCTCGGAGGAGATGATGATCTGTTCCAATAAATCCGGCTGCTCCTCGATGAGCCCTAACATCGTGCACACTTGTACGAAATTTCCAATTCACATAAGGGAGATAAATGGAATCATCAGGACGCATTCTGTACGCTCATTATGATACGAGTTTTCTTTTGCCCTTCGATATCCGTTTTCCGCGCTCTTCATTTTTAGTGCTAAATGTGTTAATACAACACAAAAAGAAATATTTTGAAAGAGATCATAAGCTGTGAATGAAAAGAATAATAAATATTATCCCCAGCTGTCTTGAATGATTCTAAAAGTAACTAAACTTGAGTATTATTATTGAGAACTAGGCCCCGAATAAAAAGGGATTGCATATTCATGTGTGGTTCACTCAAGTCGACTTGCATGTGTAATAACTCTTTCCACCATTTTTGAAAAGAAAGTGGACATGTCCTTCTACATACTAGAAGTGAACGAGAAAATTCTAACTTATTAAAAATTATTAAACAAGTTAGTTAAAGTTTATTAAAATGGTCTCTCTAAAGCATTGATTGAAGTACGAACGCGTTTTAGTCCCACATTGAGCTTTTTCAGGCATTTTTGCATTAGAATTAGACGGATCCAAACGTGTTTTTTGCTCATTAATTTTCACATTTTAACGCCTAAAAAATTCCATACCTTTCAATTTGTCAACAGTTTCTAACACATTTAAATTCATTAATATTTTATAAATAATAAAATACCTAGTATACGCTTGTGAATCATGAAAGGTAGCAAATGTATTACTTCCGTCTTAATTTAAATAAAACGAAAATTATGTTATTATGCGGACTATCAATTTAATGAAATACTTGAATGCTTGTAGAGCACATAGGATGATGTAGCAATTCTATTTTTAGCCCATTGACGTGGGTAAAGCAGTTTGGGATAGCTCTTTTTCTCAAATTAAGGTGAAATAAAATCATGAAGCACATCGAATTTCACGCTGATCACGAAACATAAACAAAAGCATGCAGCTTAAGTGCAAAACACGGTTTTAAAAACTTCTGTTTTAGAGAGCGACAAAATTGTAAGCTGCCGCTAATTCAAAATTTTAGCTCAATTTTTTACACACAAAGTGTTTCTTTTCCCATGTAGTTGTAAAACTGCATGTAATGAAATGTGTTTCGGTTAAGTTTGATAAAGAGCATATTTTGAACCTTTTCCATTCAAGGGTTGCCGTTAGCTGGCCGTGGTGCAAACAGTTTCTATTCGAAATACTAATTGCCCATTCATTTGATGACAGATTATTCGAGAACTAATTCGGTGAATTCATTTTCTGTCTAGCCAAAATACTATCTATTTCTGTACTGCAACGTGATGCCAGCATAATCAATCAATAATTACTACAAACATGTTCACTATCCAGAGTATTATTCATCGCATCTCGAACGTATACAGTAATAGCTTTGCGAATTTGAATTGAAGCTTAAATCGTCGACGAAACAAAGCATTTCAGAAAAATGTCGCCAAAGTGTTTTTTCAATGTCTTGCTCAAGAATAAATGCCTCCTTTCTTTTCACAATCGTCGTTTTGAGGAAGAACGAACATCAGTGTCGACTGCTTTTGTACCATTACTGTTGTTGCTGTTTTAGAACGTTTATGAGTATTTGTTTATATTTATAAAATAGTGTAATGGTACAGGTTGCGGCAGGTGATTCAGGACCTTCTGGACTTAAACAAAAATTTGAAAACAGCTCATTTTCATACCACTCTGGCGGTCTATTCGACTTTTAAAGCCAACACACTTCGAGACTAGGCAGCAACAGATGTTTGTTTTTTGATTTGCAGAAAGTATTTGCAGTAGAAGTGCTTATTGTAATTTAGCATTATCGCCGAATCGTCTTTTTATACGCTGAACAGAATTGATTCAAATTTTTTTTCTCAATAGGTTATTGAATGAATTTACGGGCAGCAAAGTATCTCTTTATCAAATCACTTTTCGCATTTTGGCGCGAACAGTGGCGCCATTTAAAATAGAGCCACTGTTTGCGCCAAAATGAACGAAGAAGTGAATAAAAGCTGCAATTCAGCTTGAACACATCCTAGACTACCTTTAGGCTTTCGATTATTTCTGTTGTGTTTTTTACTCCCGGAAAAACACGCAGAGCTCCGTAGTATCTATTTATGACTCAAGAATATCAACAACAAGCGCTTTATTAAAAACATAGAAATTTTCGATTGATACCTCGAACCATCAACAAACACGAAATACCACATAAAAATATTAAAAGAATTAAAAATGAAAATGCAGGACGGACGTATTATGTCCTGCAAAAAATCAAAGTTCACTACATGCTTACAATCAGCTAATCTTAAGATTAATTATACGATTAATTCGATTGTTGTCAATTATTATTTACCATCATCAACATGTACCAACGCTCTACTACATCGACCAAAAGCAGTCTTCGAAAAACAAATAATTACGGACATTTAACACTACACCCATCGTCTTTTCCAGCTCAACTACAAGGGATGATGATCAATAAAGTCAAGAAGGATCCATTATTACAACAACAAATAGAAGATATTGTGAAATCAAAGAATAACAATATTTCCGTTACAGCTGACTCGATCGTCTCCTCATTTACGACGGTGTTTCAAACATTCGGTAATCGTCTTACCGAACCTGAAGACAAAACTGATAATTTTGAAGAATATAATCCTATGGTTTATATTTTTTAATGTATGAACAACAAATTAAATATTGTACAATCTACTAAGCAGAACAAAAATAAATCGATTTTGGATCATCGACAGCGCATCTCATCTATTACAACGAATTAAACAGATTAATAAGAAAAGATTAGCTAGAAATATTGAAACATACGACTTTTCAATATTATATACAGGTATATCACACGACCTACTAATTGAAAGTATGAAATGGATAGCTGAGAGAAGTATCTTGTCAAATAACGCAGTGATACTAACCAATGGATGGTTCGCTACCTTCCAAAGTAACATCAATATTCAAAACAACAATAAGCACAAATATTATACAATAGTTAGTAGAGAAACCTTCGGTCATATGATTAAATTTCTAGTTGAGAATAGTTATTTCATTCTAGGTAAGATTGTTGTTATCAATGAGCACAAACTCCGGGCCCCTTTTAGCAAATTTGTTCTTGTACAATCAGAATTTGAATTTTTGGGTAAAAATACATAAAAATTGTATTCAACATGCAGATCATTAAATAACACCTTTCGCCACATTGGTGGTCTAATTACAATAAATTCAATCTGCATCTAATGTCCATATATCCATCGCAACTGACGTTGAACAAAGAAAATGTGAGCGATCAAACCGCCACATTTCTAGATTTTGAAATGACTATTGTTAGTGGTGTAATACAAATTACCGTATGATAAAAGAATATACTAGATTTTGAAGATATCGCTTAGAGCCAGTTTTGCACCCCACAGTTTGGACTGCAAACCCATCGAACAAATTCAAAATGAGGCCGCTAAATATGCTAAGTAGCGCTAGAATCAACCAAAAGTCAGTCAGTCTGATAAAGTCTGCCAGTATTTGAGTGAAAGCACTAGAAACGATGCATGACCGACGATTAGTGCGCAAACCAACAAGCAGTGCGGTAGGCCAAAATCAATCAGTAATACTGATTCAGTGCGGCACCTATGATGAAGAGGAAGAAATGTAGAGCGGTGTTATTGTTAGATTGTTTGTATGTAGGTATCTTTGTTAAGTTTTTTCCTTTTGTTACGCTCTATTTATAATACTTCTGCTAGGAAGGATTATGAAACGAGATTAATCAATTTTTGTCTTTGTTTGTTCACAGGGCTTTTGGTAGCGGAACAGGTGCATTCTTGTCGAAGCGCAATAATCGGCTATAAAGTGCGTGATAATTCGTTTCACCTTTCGTGTTAATGACAACGACAACGAGTAGCGGTTGTTTTGTTTTCATTTTAACACGGTACAAGAAATAAGTTCTTATTCCTTAACTTGGCTTAAAATCTGTTCTGGATCTAACGTAAAAATGTCTGGCTTATTCCTACCCTGTTCAAAATGTGTAAAACGATCAATTTCCACATGCCATGGATGACATAAATCTTTTTGCAAATCAGACTTTTTTAAACATCGTCAGGAATTAGATGTACAAAACGTTAAAATTGTCAATGGCTATGATTTAGTTGAAGAACAGTTACAAAACAACATTTCCTGACTATTTAAATGAAATTGAAAAATGAAACAACAAGAAGCAACCCTAGTGGAACTTCTAGATCGAAGGAGCTGCAAGAAAGCGAGAAAAAAACAAGAAAATAGGACACCTCTTGCGGCAAGAAATGTTTCTCGCTTTCTTCTCTCAAGATCTTGAGCCAAGAAAAGTAAGAAAACTCTTCTTGTATTTCTTGATCCAAGATCTTGAGGCAAGAAAGAAAGACACACCTTTCTTGTGTTTCTTGGCGCAAGAGATAGGTCCTTGCAAGAAAGCAAGAAATTATTTCACTCGTTCTTCGATTTCTTTTATCCTATGGTTATTTCAATTTCGGTTATAGGAAAAGCACGGCTTCTTGTGGAAGCAAAAAATGGGAAGAACGTGTCTGGGAGGTTCAAACTTCTTATCATATATATAAATCGACATAGGCAACAAAGTGATGTAAAAAACGAGGGGGGTCCGCTGCTTCTTAAGTTACGTCTTCCTAGCACCATACGGAAACTTATCGCGGTACTCATGAACTTACATTGAGAGTGGACCGAATTCGATAATTTTAAATCGATTAATTAAATTAATTAAATTAGTGTTTGAACAATGCACTTCGAAGGCTTGCGATTTTCAGCATTGCATAGAGGAAATAATTAGCCACAAGTTGACATCAAATATCTCAGAAAACACCACTTGCAGATGGTGTACCTTATTAGTCTTTGAAAGAGTGGGTCGTGGTTCCAAGATCTATCAGAGTGATCCCTGGGTTTCTCATATAGATATGATAGCCTAAAATGTTCTCTATAAAATCGAACTTAATCTAAGCGATCTCGTAATCTTTTGTGGTTTAGGCTCGGCATCGGATTTTCTTAAAGCCGAAGGGGCAATATTTTCTTAGGTGCAGTAATATCAAAAATGAATGGACACATGGGTTATCTATCACGCATGTAGCAACGTTTGTTTTTCGAAAAAAATTCAAAAATCTAGTGAAAAACTATATTAAGTGAAATCGCTTGTGCATGCAAATTCGATTTTTTCGGAAAAAGTATATAACATCTTCAAGGCTGTTTTTGTTTTAATTCGGGTATTGCCTGTACCATCTTTGTATGTTTGTCGTAGACTGATTTTTAACGGATTGACTGGTTGTAAAATCTGACACATGAACGATTCACTAGCATCTCTTGGCAAATTGGTTAGTTGAATGGCGGGTTGAGGTCTTATACTGCTGTTACGAAATTGTCGACAAGCGACTGCGTGTGGAGTAAGGTGATTCAATATTTCTTTATCAGTCATGAATCTACTATCTGGCGGAATAGTTAATGCTAGTTGAGTTATGAATCTTTCTCACTCATATGTGTACCGGTTGTAGATGATGATAATTCTTCTTGAGGGCATATATAATGTGGTGGTAAGCGTGCCGTTGCCCTTTGAAAAGTTTCTGTTGATTTTAGTACAATATAAAAAGGTGTTGCTTCATAATGGTCATCATCATCACCGCTCCCAATTGATGTACATTCCTGAAAATTATTCTCTTTGATATCTTGTCGATTGATATCGAGTTTTATAATTTTTCATAATTTTTACATGGTACTCGTTGGAGATTAAGTCGAAGAGCATTTTCCATAATTTCAGTAGCAGAACAGATTAAACCATTTTGAAATGTTGCTCGAATCGGACTACATTCGATTGTTTTCGAATGAGTATATGTTAGAATCTGTTGTAAAATCGATTCTAGGCGAGAACAATTTGTTTCAAGATCCCAAATTGTTAAACGACGCGTCAGTTGATCACACTCACCAACGAGCCATTTTGTCCATGGTTCTGAGCGAATGTTATTGAATAGAGTTCGTATTTCGTTGTTAATCGACCATCCGATATTTTCACAAACGAGTAGTTGTTGTACGGATGATTCTGAAAGATGATGTGCAGGAACTTGATGAAGATGATCGACGACATACTTTCCTGAAGGTGACCGTGTAATGAACATGGCTACGAAATACTGGCGCTTATGATCATGTGCCCACTGAACGTGTATACTCCTGTTGGCGATGCTTGCACGTAGATCACTTTCAATGAGGCGAACGCCTTCGTCTGGTAAATATGGTGCGAGAAGATGATCTATTTGAGCAGGAAAAAGTTTTCGATGATGTTCTCCGATGATGTCTCCATTATTCGATTGTTTATCGAAAGTTTTAGTATCTGATATTAAGTTCCAACGAGAGTCAGTTATGGTCTCTACGTAAAACTCCACTGAACTTTCGACAAATTGAAGAATTTGATCGTCGAGTCCATTCATGAAAGAGTACTGTGTTCGATATGACTGACAATATCGGATCGATGTTGAGATGATTCATGCATGACAAGTGATACATTTATTAGTCGTCCGATCAATGGTACCTGTGGTTTTCCAATCATTGAACATCGTACAAAGATGGAACAAATCGCTGTTATATTGATGAAACTAATCAAAAACGGGTTATTTCACCTAGTATAGGTTTTCACTTGGTTCTTGCATTTTGTTCTGAAAACTAAGATTGCCACGAGATTCAGCATAATTCATAACCTATATTTTCTTTCATTTCATTCCCAAACGTAATGGCAGAGGAGTGCTGAGGCTTCAAGAAAAATATCTATAGTTCAAAATGTCCATAGCAACTGTACCATGAGTTCTCAATATATCCAGGACGACAAATTTTCAAAAATCGATTTTGCTTGTAGAAAGGTCGCTACAAGCCTTGACTATCGAATGATGAAAACCACAGGTCGGTATGTCTTTTTCTTACAAAGTTATAAGCAAAACAAACGACTCTCTTATTCACTGATAACGATGGTAGTTCGGAAAGAATACAGGAATGTACAAGAACTCCACCGTAAGAATTTACTCCTGTAGAGAAATATCTTGTACATGACGGGAACCATGAATAAAGTATATAAGCACCTTCCCATCGGTTTCGACGTAGATGACGATTGTTGACTGTATAGAAACCAGCAGATCTTTAATTTCCGAACATTATATAGAATCGCCGTAAATGATTTCACGTCCTCGCATAGTGTGTTATAGGCTCTAATCTGACTATTTTTCACTGATGTTATTATTAATTTGCGATTCCATTTCTATACAACAGCCATCAGGAGCTCTTTGTCAGCTGCGAGAGAATTTGTCCAAAACCTATAAGAGCTGACGGATTAACGGTTCGTGCGACGAAAACAAAAGGCCCTGCTTCAGGATTCAAATTCATGGTGTTGGCATGTAGAATCTGTAGTGGCAAGTGGCAATCGTGAGATCATAGCAGATAAGTTAATTATCAGAAGTAATTTATCAGATTCCAGAGCACATTCTACAAAAACATATGGTAACGTGACTAGAATATCATCTCGCTTGTCGTTAACTGTTCACCTCTTATCATCTTCGAAACAGTGTCAACGACAGTAGTTATTGTGGGGTTAACAATTCTGTTCACTGACTGTGTTTGTTGTTCTGATTGCAACTGTAGACAGTGAATAATGTTGTTAGTTTGTGTAATTTGTTGAGAGAATGCCGCCAGATGGTTTAATGCCACAGAGTGTAGATTCTTCTTTTGCCATATACCTTTAAAGACGAATAAGTCAACGGCATGAGCAAGAGTGACCGAGCTTAATTATCACTTCTAATAACTGAAGAGAATTGTCCTGTTTGGTTAATAACTCGTCTACAAGAATATGCTTTGGAGAAAAATGTCGGGGATTTCGAGAATGAAGAATATCGTATCCAATGCTACTAATTTTTTGCCATTCCTTTGATTTTTGGAAGAAATCTATCGTAAATAGGTCGTGCATCGAGTAATTCATCGAAAAACCTGCTCAAAATGTTTTTCATTTAACGTTAGTAAATCAACTATAAGAGAATTTCACAGCGAAACAAGTGCCTCAAAACGCTCAAGTGTACGAACTTGTATTTCGTAAAAGTAGTAAACACTTGACCAGTATGTATCAGGACTGAAGTACTGTAATTGTTTCGGTTTCTCATTAAACGTGTCAAATTTATGAACTGCGTCGCGAAAGCTACCGCGTAGAAGTCGAATCGACGAAAATAAGATTTCACTTTTGGGATGATTACTCAAAGATTGTTGTTGTTTACACGTAACGGATGCTGACACACTGTCTTTCTGTTGCTGCAGAAGAATTTTTTTAAAAATTTTGATATCGTTGAAGGTGACATAAATATCAGACTGAATTATGTTGAGAAATAAAAGTCTTTCTTCAAATTTCCTTCTAAGAATATATTTTTTCGTGACTGCTCCCATCATGTATTCGGTTGTTAATTCATTTTTTATTTTTTTAATTCTAGATATTGATTGTTGATATCCTTCATGAACAGTATTTGAGCAATTTCCAGTTTTGATAAGATCCATTGAGATAAATCATATCGAATCGTCGTCGGTTTCGAAAGCGGCTTTACGTAGACGAAGATCATTTCTGTTCGAAGAACGTTTTCTGTTCTGTTTACGCCAGCCATCACATAGATATATGTGAGCACATAAGAAAAACGCATGGAAGGGAAGACAAATATGATCAAAGAAAAGTAAGTCTTGACAAGGCACCCTGCACTCTTCGCTAGGAAAAATATATCAAATTTTGATATGCTTACTGGCATATGGTGAACGTTCAGCAACAGTTGATCCAACATTCCGTGTATTCGATCGTAATTGTATTATGAATAATATCTCATTCACAGAGAACGAGTTCGATGAAGTTATGGCAAGGGAAAAAAGCACCATTTCGACTATTTGCGAATATAAATACAGTAAATGAAATAAATGTTTTTAAGGCATACATATTGTAGATCAGATAAATGATGAAAATTAAAAATCTTTCTTTCAAATTCAACTTAACGAAAAAACTAAATATATGTAGAAAAAATCGGTATGTTGGCATTTAACAGAGATACAGATCATTTATCTGCAGATAGACTGAAACGTGATCAGACAAAATAAATACAGTCTATTTTGCTAATAAATGATCTAAATTTTTCTGTCTAAATGTCAACATGACCAATCAACAACTATAATACACTAATTTCACTTCAATTTCGTGTAACATTCTACTATTAGCATTTTTATTTAGTCTTTTTTATCATATTCTAATCATCTCTTTCTATCTTTTTTGTTTAAGCGTTCACTATACTAGAATAAAACGTATTCTATAAATTTTTGTTCTATGTCATATTATTCTATACATGTATACATAAATGTGTTTTTAATTATACTATACTTATTTTGTTAGCTGTGCTTTTTATAGTTGTTTTATTACTTTGTTGTTGAAAATACAATTACTTAACAATACTTTGTTATGTATCAATCAAAAAAAATACAATGTTCATTTGTAAAAAGTTTTATCTGCTCATACGTTGTCCGATTGTACAATACACTATGTGTTCTTTTATTAATGATTTGTATTCAAATATGTAGATAATTTTTGCTTCTCAATAAAATATGGTACAGTTAAAATTCAAGTACACAATAAAGGACTACAAAGATAAAGTCAATAACAACATTTCTACTAGGTATATTCGACTGTTGGTTTTTACCCAAAATCTAAATTTTCTTACAACAAGATTCAAAGTTCGGATCAGGATTTTCTGTAGAGAGGAGAAAAACAATCAAAAAAGCACAAAATATAGATTAATACTACGTTCGCTCTAAAATTCACTGACACTCTTAGAGTGTCATTTCATCACTTCAGCTATAGGTGCACACGCTTGAAGTAAGATTTTCTCCCCTTGGTTTAAATGAATGTGGTTTTGTATGTGATGTTTTCGCGGACATTCGAAAGGCATCTGATACCGTGTGACATCGGGGTCTGCTTTTAAAACTTGAGAAATATGGGATAGGGGGCTTGGTATTGCAGTGGTTAGAGTCTTATCCTACAGGATGACGAACTGTCACTATGGTTTCCGGTAGAACTTCGAGTGAGAGAAAAAATCAATTGTGGTATACTCCGAGCCTCAGTCTTTTGGTCTTTGTTCTTCCTGATATTCACATACGATATTTCGGATAACCTGGAAAATTTATGTAAACTATATGCTGATGATACTTGCTTGTATGGCAGTGGGAAAGATTTGAATGCTTCATCTGACTTCCTCAATTGTGATTTAGCCCGCTTGTCCAAATGATTCTGTAGTTTTCACAAAAAAAATCACGACAGCTAAAAATTACAGTCTTTTCCCCTCTGTTATTGAATAATAGTTTTCTCACCGCAGTTAATGAGCATGTTCATTTAGGACTTTTGTTCTTAAAGGACGCTATGGGCGAAGCACATTCGACAAGCTCTGTATTAGTCCGAGTTCACTTGTGGGTCTCTTGATCAGACATAAGTGGTGGTTCAACAGAAAAGCTCTGAATACTTTATATCAAGCATATGGCATGTCGGCTTCAAACGATAGCGATACGCCCTATTCTTTGACATCTGACTATAGCATAGACAAACTAAGGAAAGTTCAGGATCAAGCCTTCTTGACAGTTACCGAAACTACGCGCACTTCTTCTCAATATAAAATCCTACACGATCTTCATTAGCTTCCTCCCACTGAGCGTCTTCTGAAAATGAGACTAACGCTTTTTCGACGCATAATCACAGGATGTGCGCCTGTATACTTAACTGAACATATTCAAGGTTTTCACCCTTGAATACCAGATATAACACTCGATCTAACAATCGTCGGCTCTATGTTGCTGATCATTTGAAAGGGGCAGCAATTACAACACAAACATTTTTTGCATGTGTGCCACTTGAATGAAACAACCTATATCTACGGAAATCTCAGTATCTACTTCTATGACAATATTTAAAATCAAATTTAATACCTCAATTTTGAAAAATCCAAATAAAAACTATTATCTGAATCATGATGTTCCGTGACGTCCTGAAAGTTTTTTCACGCCATGTCGAGTAGACTTTCCTCACTGCGCGAAATACTACTACTCTAACATTAGTCGATCCACTAATATCATTTACAATCTGCTGTCTGACATTTGTTTCTATCTGTCTCGGTCATACAGTTTTATATTATACTTCTTTAACGATAAATGAATAGGGATGTAATATATGAAAGATAAACAAAATAGGATTGTTTTTGTCTGCTTCGTTCTCCGTTCTCCATGCAGAGGATATTCTTTTTCTTATCAATACGGATAGAAAATGCTCCTTGTGTTACTCAGATTAGTTTTTCAGTAGCTAAAATATGTCGCTAAATGAGCAGAATATTATATTTAAATATTTTTTTTTTTAAATATATATTTTTATTTATTCCACATTTAGATTTTCGTTAAACCTTATCAGTTTACAGAGGACACTTCAAAGTATAGAAACATCCTGAAGTTCTATAGGCTTACTGACAATTATGGTTGAGAAAAAAATTAATTACTTGCAAAATTTTGTTAAATTTTTTAGGTCGGGACTAATTTTATAAAAATTCTTGCTCATTCTCTATTCATGATGAAATCTTGATTCTTGCTTAGATCGATAGAGAAATGTGTGAAGAACATTTGTTAAAGCAACATATGTAAAAAATTTTGTTCTGCCCTTTCTGATATTGATTAATTAACATTAATTTAGCCTACTCTACTTGCTTAAAGTTCCATTTGCAAATTAACAACTCAACAAGAATTTCAAGCAATACTTCATCTGATAGAAACTTTTATGGGCTGCAAGCTGGGTGACCATGAGGCCTGTTTGTATTCTACTGAAAATTTAAACATAATTTTTGTTTGTAAAAAGCGCGCTCAAAAAGCCTGAGTAGTTCCTTAGAATAACAAAACCAAAAATGAATTCTAAAAATGTTAAAGTCACCTTCCTTGTAGCCCGCGCAATTCTCTATCTGATGACGTATTTGTTTAATTTATTCGTTGAGCTGTTATTTTACAAATTAGACTTTAAACGAGTATAGTAACATATAGTGTAGTGTACATTCGCAACTTTTTACTTTACAGAACAGTACAAATGATCTTATGGGTTTTTTCCTCTTTCTTTTTGTTCTGTTCATGTCTTTTAACCAGTATTTCTTTTTACATAACATATTAAAGCTTTCATCTACATAAATTAACGTTAATTAGTCAATAACAGGAAGAACAGAACAAAAATCCTTAGATATTTTCACTTATCAGTTATAGTTACGGTCTTCGTTCTTCTTGTCGTTATTTTTCTCTCTTTTCACTTACATAGCATATTAGTGTTGTCTATTCAATTGATTCTGAAATAGTACTGAAGTGAGCACCTAGTGCTTCCAGTACTCTTGTCTTATTCTTAAATAAATCTATTCAAACCAAATATGTCGTTTATCGAGTTCCTCGACTGTTTCGATGATGTCTTTTCGGATTTAAATGATCCATGGGAACTAAAATTAATGGAACTAGTTAAAATCAAGAAGTGGTTAATTAAACAACATCATGGACCGATCGAGTAAGAATACTAGTTTTGCTGGACTCTTGAAAGTTCTGTTTCACCTATAATCTGTGAAAGGATACGAATAATTTTCTTTTCAGCTACTTTCTACTAGCTCAAAAGTAGCTTATGCATACTAAAAAATTGAAATGTTGGACTTATCCACCGCTTCTTTTTCGACCTAAAATTTTCATTTCAGGTTAGTCTCCAACTTTTCGGATAAAATGGCGAGTAATCCCGGAAAAGTAAACCAATTTTTCTAATTAAAACGAGTGAGAATCACAAGTCAAAGCAGTACAGATTTTAATAAAACAGCAGCCGCCATAATTATGTAACGAATTTTATTGTTTATTAATTAAATTAATTTAATCAGTCTCATTAACGAGTAAAATCATGTATATACGTCAATTTTCTTTTTTCTCTTTCTTTTCTCGATATTCATCACATTCTTCTAGTTTTTTCTTATACAACATATATAGTTGGGTTCACGAACCTTTTAATTGTATATTTCTATATTTTATCCTTGATAATGAACGGCTGATGAAGCGATTGAAACGTCGGTTAAATTAATTTAATTAATAAACACTAAAATTCGTTACATAATTATGGTGGCTGCTGTTATATTAAAATCTGTACTGTTTTTTTTAAATTTGATGAAAACAAGACATTTGATTCTGAAGATGATTTTTCCTTTTTTCCGAATAAGACAGTTGATCCCGATTAAAAGTAGTTTATGCATTAGATCATATGACCTTTACTTGTGTTGTAGCACCGATGATGCTACTTAGATAGTATAATTCGATGAAGCCATGCAGAATTCTACGTTTTTAAATCGTCTTTATTTTCTGCTTATAGTGTACTTCTCTCCGAACATGTAGTAAGCAACAACTTTAATGGATTATATAAATCGGCCTACGTTTAAAACATCCTGAAAGATGAATTCAAAGCCATACTCTTTTTCTAATTAATTTAAATTTAATAAAACATCAGAAATTTATATATAGCGGCTTCTTTGTTTATGGTACAATGCATCAATCAGCTTAAATGAGTTTTCTTTCTTTATTTTAAGCTTCCACTGTGACAAATGTGAACGTAGATGGGATTCTGGCCACGCATCAGTTCTATTCCTCTATAAACTGTTGAATAAATTTAATCGCAAAAATAAACCTATTGGTGTTGTTAAAATGAAAATTCTTGGACAAAAATGTCGATGGTCTGCATTGTACCATCCGGCCGAGTTTTCTCCTGACGAAGTGCTTCGTGCCATTAAAAGTTTACGCACGAAAGTTGTGGAAAAATTCTACAAAGATCCTGGTCCGAGAGAGTCGAAAGAGAAAGAAAATCAAGAGGAATGGAAAGCTACTTTGCCACATGTAACAGGTTTATGTGAAGCATGTCAGCTAGGGTTTTGTCAAGCACAACCCTTTACCGTTCAAAAACATCGTCGCGCAACAAAGCAACAAGGAAAAGCTGTTACTTTATCTACGAGAAATGATTATTTTGGGAAAGAATGGTGGTTCGATCCGTGCATTAATCAGCAGTTCATGTGGTTTGTTCCGTACGGTGCATCCCCGCCAACGTCAAAACCAAAAAGAAGGCGAAAAAAACCTCCGCAATCGAACCATAGTACCGAACCAGTTGAGCCAGCTCCTGAGAAAGAAGAGCAAGTAAAGAACAGAAGAAGAAGAAGAAATCGAAGATTTCGAAAAACAGCAGAAGAACAAAACGATAAACTTAATAACGCAGGCAACTTTGAAAACTAGAAAAGTACGTTAGAACATGTACAAATAGTCAAACACATTGAAACGGGGGAAAACGTGGCAGAAAATGCCATTCTAACGTGTTTCAACGGGGTGAAATCCGTCAAATCAACTGGTTCCAATGCGTTCTAGTTAAAAATTCTGTGGAACTTGAGCGATCTTTCTAAACGCATTACAAACTGCTCTGTATCGTGCACATTGTAAGACGCTATAGTAAGGAACTTGTTGATTTGACCGATTGCACCGCGTTGCAATGCATTCTGAAACCGTAAATGCGTTCAACAACCGTTTAGGCTTTAACCTATTCAACATATTTTTTCCTTGAACGTTAGTTTTTATATACCAATAATGCGTTCGAATGTATCCGTTTTCAGATGAGTTGCAGCGCGTTAGGTTCATTATTTTATACCGACCGTGTTGAAAACTGCCAAATATTTCATCTTTTTCTCCTCCTTTATTTCATTTTTGATTCGTTATCTTTCGAGAGAACCTGAGACCAATCGTATAAGGTTCGAGGCGGCTCCAACACAGCTCGGGAGAAAAAACACAATTTAGATTATGATTTGTAGATTGAACAAAACTTCTCATGCTGATCTTCACATTTTAAAGAAAATTCTTTTTACTGTCGGATTCACAAGACTTTTTTCTATTGAGAAATGTAAAGAACCCAAGACTCATACAGCGAAACAATGCAAATGACTCGACCTAAGTCAATGGTGCAGATGTTCTCGAGAAATTGCGAACTTGCATAAGAAACAATATTTCTTGATATTGATAAGAAATCTCTTATATAAAACGTCTACTGTTCTACAAACTGTAGAGATTTTCTATAAAATGCGGAAAGATTTAGTCTATACAGGTAATATTAGAAAAATTAAGTTTTTTCGAAAAAATCAGTTTGTATTTATATTACTCATAATAGCGAAATAAAAGGGTGAATGATTTTCTGAGAAACAGTAAAAGACTGACATATAACTGCCAATATGAAATGCTAGTTTTTTTCTAATATGTTGACTGTTCTAGAACGGCGTGCTAATACACAGTTAACGGTTGATGTAAATTTTAGGCTTATGCGCATACAGTTAAATGCCCGTTTTTAGTCGATGGTTCGTGGTGCAATAATGGACTTAAAGTGACGATGGTCATTTTTTAACAGCTCTTACGTGAGCACTCTATAAATTCTTTAAAATAATTAGTGATTTTGTAACCAATTCTCAATATACATTATAAAATTAATCGACTTTTCTGTTACAGAGTAAGATATTCAATTATCTTACTGTTCCTTTCTGACAAATTTCAATCCCATCTGAGATTAAAATTGAAAAAGCAGACATAGAAAAGAAGATTGAGCGAGTTGTAGTGACTTAAAACGCCTGTAATCTATATTGCATTTGAGACCCTTTTATAATATTTTAAGTTTAGTGAAGAGTAAGATTTCTCTTCTAATTTGAGTCACTATCTCTATTAAAACGTCTTTCTGACGAACATAGAGATCTTTCTATGACAAAAGTTGATTAAATCATTAATTAAGAAATGAAAACATCTTTGAACTTCTAATTTTTCGCATAGGCGGTGGAACGAAATTGGATCTAGGATAGGTTCAACATTTTTTAATATCAAAAATAACACAAAAAGATTTTTTATTAACAAATCGAGGTTAGGCTCCGATCCTTGTGATTTTTCAACGCCAGATAGCTGTTAGAGTCGTAAAAGTCTTTCTAAGATATTATAACGTATTAAGAAAAATAACGCAAATAAAGCGTTTGAATACCTTCAGTTCACATGAATAATCTGAAAGAACGCATTTAAAGCCTTAAAATGTGTCCAAAGAAGAATTTACACGTTTAAACGGGGGAAACTTCTTTTTCAACATCTGCGAAAGACCTTTGACTATCCGAAAATTTCTTTTCCAAATATCTGCTGCTGTTTTCAAGTCTTTCAAAGTGAAGCCATTTTGACGCTACCATTGCGATAGGCCATAAGAATAAGGTAAAACATCGCATTGATTATGTTGACACTACAACTTCGCTCGATTTAATTACACTTAAGTTTATATTAAAGTTTTTTAATATTTTATTACTCAAGAACTGGACTAAAAGAAAACCCAAATAAAAAGTAGGCATGAACTAGATCACAAAAAAATGTACATTATGATCGAAAAGAAAAGTACGGGAGAACAATCGAATCTTTCCTCTAAATAATTTGTGCTCTTAAAATAGTCGAGCAACATTTAGTTTTGCGATGTCTATACATGGTTCGAGGCAACTCGTCGACCTGCATCCGAATATATGGTTTCTAAGGTTTCAAATTCAATTTTTAGAGTCGAAAATTTGAAAAAGGTCAAATTTTTTAAAACCTGAAAAATGGCTTATTTGTTAAAAAATGAGCATAAATGTCCCATGTACTGTTTTTAGTAATTATGAACCATTTTTATTCTTATTCTGCG